TGAACGTGAAGAGTGGTTCGGATAAGGAGAAGAAAGCAAAAGATACCTTCGATTACACCCCGAACAACAACATCCCCTACTTCGGCCGCATTCCAACCAGAGAAAAGGGGTATTGAAAGCTTTTCACGGACCTAGCTTCAGTTGCTTCACTGCCAATGACACTGGACCGCAACTGCGCCCGCGCTTTCCTTGCAGCGTCACGTGGCAGTGGACATCGGAAGGCGGGGCTTGCAAACTAAGGTGTGGATTGCGGGACGAGCGAGCTCTAGCGCCTTTGTCGCGCACTTTCAAGCCGCGACAGGGGCCCCACATCAGCACTTGTCCGACACCTCGGGGTGGAACAGATAAGCGAGCCTAATCCCGCACCGTGCCTTTAATCTTGAGAATCTGATGAACTAACAGATCTACTGTACCAACAGATCTACTGTAAGGCAGAGCATGAGTGCACGGCAATGTAGAGTATTCAAAGAATTCAAGATGAGGTCAGCTGGGATCAGATAAAAATAGACTCACTTGGTAAACAAAAATCGTGCGTAATCGTTAAGCGAATTTTAAACTCAGGTCGCTGTTGCGCTGAGCATGTGCAAGATGCCTTCGAGTCATCATTATGAATGGAGAAGAAGAGTTTCCATTCAATGCAAAGCATATTAGTTGATTACACATACAAAGAATATGCCATTAATCACTTGACACATAATGGTTTTTTAGAAACCCGAACAATATCTGTTCCTCCACCTCGCCGTTTTCGAACACGCTGTTCGTCAACGATATATCTCAGAAAACACATATAATGAGATCGATCTAGAAAACTATTTCTACAATCCACAGCGACCAGGAAGTGGAAGTAAAGATCAAGAAGACACGGGAAGAAAAAGTTCCTCAACGTGAAAGAAACATGCCGCAAAAAATGAAAGAAACGAATGCAAGCTGCAAACATTAGTTAAATACGATTTAATTTCATATATCCGGAGAAAATTCATAATAAATGTTTCCCAGTACATGGACTTCAGTTTCGGTGTCACTCAGGAAAGGATGATGGGTCGAAGTGGCCATATGCCATGAGACCTACACTGTTGGATGTGTTTTTGGACGCTGATCTCGAATCTGCTTTCCAAATCTGCCAAACGATTTTCTGAACGGAGTTATGAAGCAAAATAGAGCAGCGGTAGTGGTCCGGCTCACGGGCGAGAGGTCGTAGGATCGATTCCCTGACGGATGATCTGAGTACAAATTCGCCTCTAGAGACATTTTTATCTCCGAAACACGAAAATCACACCTGTCTGCTGCAAAAACGCCTGTCAAGAGCCCTGCAGGCTCCATGTGCTGTCGCCCGCGACCCCGGACCACTACCGCTGCTCTATTTTGCTTCATAACTCCGTTCAGAAAATCGTTTGGCAGATTTGGAAAGCAGATTCGAGATCAGCGTCCAAAAACACATCCACCGGTGTAGGTCTCATTACATATGGCCACTTCGACCCATTATCCTTTCCTGGTCAGGAGTTTCTTTCTGCAGGAGATTCGGTTTCTACACTCATGAGCAGTCAAACCTGCTACAACCGTTCTGCAGCTACTCACCTTTCTCTGCTCTGTTATATCGCTGATTTCTCCTTACTGACAATTCATAGCTATGCTTGCTCAATAAACACGCCAAAAAATAGGTGGACGTCAGAAAATACGATCCACGAGTGCAACTGGCACCGCGTCGACCGTTCTCGCAGTCCCGATTCTGGCACCACCCATACTGCCGACATTGCTTTCACTCACAGCACGCAAGAACACTTGAACGGTATTTGAATGGCATGTAAAAACCACGTGTGAAGCAAGTGTGTTGCAAAGCAGTCGCAAAAAAGTGCCACACGCTCCCCGGCCTTATTTTGATCATCCACCCACCAGAAATCGCTGAAAAATGACAAGCCAGCGCGCAACCGAAATCTGGAACTTGTTTTGAAGGCGGGCC